AGGGTTTACATTATGTTACTATTGTACAAATCGCTATTTTAATAAGAAGTTATCACTTGGAAAGTTCGTACGTTCAGAAATTCTAAACCCTAATCGGGGTAAGTGATGAAACATTTCGATAAAACATTATCCCATACCCCGCGGGGACATACAACAATCGTAATGAGGGTTAACGGGGTGTACAAACCTTGATTTGTGAAGTTAAACATCTAAAAAGGTCACAAACGAAGTCTCCCTCAATCTCTCTTTATCAATTTCTCTCTCTCCCAAATCTCTCTCATAACCTCCCTCAACTTTTTATAATCATTTGGGGGCATCTCGACCCTTAACTTAGCCAAAAACCGCGCAAAACGGGGTGTTTATGCGAAAAACAACTTTATAGGGTCGAACCTTCTTAGGGTCGAAACCCTAAGAAGCAAAACCCCTATGAGGTGAGACCAAAGAAGCTGAAGTAACCGAAGGACCGAAGCTGAAGACCAGACAACCGAAAGCTGCTTAGGACCGAACCTCGCCTGGACCGAACATCGCATGGACCGAAATCGAGCCTCGCTTTCGCTTCCTTCCCACTCTCGCCTTCATTTCCTCTCCCTTCTTGCCTGCGAAACCTTTCAGCCAAACCACTTTTGGTTATCACATAGCAACTAAACTTCGGTTCTACTCAACCAAGGACCGAACTTCGGTCCTCCCCTCCGAATTTTCACAGATTTCGCCCTTTATCCTAGTTTTCGACCACTTTCGCGTTTTAAGCCCGTTTTTCGTGATTATGACGTGGGACTTTCACCCAAACTCATATTTTGACATACAAGACCCTAAATATTCATAATTTAAGCACGTTTTAAGAAAAATCTTTGTTTAAGACTAAACTCTAGTGGGTAAGATATTGAGGTGGAGTGTTGACTTTACCTTTAAGTCATGACACAAGCAACCCACCACACCCACTCCAGGGCCATACTCAGTCACTATTCCTCCATACTTAGTCAATTAGTTGTCCTTTCACACTCTTTCACCAGCCAATAATCAGATCAAAGGGCTATAAATCTTCACTTCTCCTCCCACATTATTCACTCTTTCTCAAGAAGAATCAAACCCTTTTCTCTGTCACTTTCTCTCTCTAAAAGCTCGAAATTGAAGGCTAGTCTTGAGAATTTCCCTCCAAGTTTGTTAAGTAACTTCATCCTACATTTGATTATCTTTCATCCATTCACTCAAATCATGGATTCCTTACACAAATATCATCATAGTTGTTACTAGATCTTCAAATCCTCAAGTATCTCCCAAGTGTTCTTGACTTGGAAACTCCTTTTCTTCATCATCCATCTACTGAAATCACTCAACGTGAGTTCATACCCCCACATTTTCATGTTTTCTTCATGTTTTAGTGGGGAGAATACAAGTTAAAACACCAACAACATAACTAAACTCAAACATCAGCTTTCAACAGAAAAGTTAATGTTCATTCACGAACTGTTTTGAGCATCCTAAACTTTTTAGTTTTCAAAACTGTATTATGTGCAAATATTTCAGGCTTATACCTTTAAAATTACTACTTGCACATATCCATACGATTTTTCTACAATTTATGGTGACTTTTAAAAAACTGCCTATCACTATAGCTACGAATTCGAACCTGTCTGTGAATATGAACATTTTCACACCAGTTAGGGGCTTTTAAAAATCATAATAAAATTTGTGAACAAACTAGACACATATTCTAAACTCTTAGATTTTACAGATCTAGTTTTCTATTTCGTATTATTTTTCTATGATTTTTCTAAATCAGTGCAGAAATGGTAAAAACGAATTTACAGATTACAACTTTAATAACACTTTGTAACATATTGAGTAAAGTGTAAATCTTTGATGGATTCATATTTTGCATGTGTTTTTTGTTGGGATATAATTATATTACAAAAAAAATGTTCACTAAATTGTAAGAACTCTTTATTATTATAATTAATGCTTGATGCGGCATAGAAAACATAGTTATGTTTTGTTATATATTCTACTTACACAGAAAAAGAATACTACGCATTCCAAACATTTTGATAAACTATAATAGGTATATTTTATGTTACATATACATTACGAAAGAGTACATTTCTACAAAAAGGGGGTTTTCAATTTCACACTACGTTAATCTGTTAATGAATAAATTTGTGAGACATTCGCTTCACGTTACTTCCAAAGTAACACAAAAAAAGTCCTGTAATTATAACCAGAATCTCTTGTAGGGAGAACATGATAGTTGTGTATAGATCTATATTGTTTCTGACAAACCCACACCTTAGCTGCATGCAACAGCTAGACCGGCAGGTCAGGGGTGACAAATGTCATTAACATTTCGACGCCTGAAAAATGTTGTATACAAGGCCGACTAAGTCATACTATTGATATATAATAACTCACATGGGGTATTAAGAAAACATAACATTTACGGGGTTTCCATTTAAACTAACAAGTTTATGTCAATTTAAACTTGCATGATTTACAATTTTATATGGAAAAATAAAAGTACATTATTAGTCTTGACATTTAAGACTACAATACATTTTAAAAAGGGAAAATATTGGATTTTTCTGGAACAAACATTACTTTTACAAGAAAAGATTTCAACATTTCATTCAAAATCTTATGATCTCACCAACTTAATTGTTGATACTTTTTCAAAACTACTTGTATTCTCAGGTAATCGGCCGCTTTTGAGGATGGAACGCTAAGGCGTCAAACATTGTATTTTGTCAACATAATGTAATTGATTTAGAAACATGTAAGCTTATACTATGATGTAACTTTTTCAATTATATTTATGTTGCTTGTTTTTACTTTGAGCACTATTATACTCATTTTTGTGATACTATACATGAAGTCTTCCACCCCCGGACGTTTCCGCCATCCTTGGTTTGGGGGTGTGACAATTTGTATGTTTGTTATAGGCTTAATGCTTTGGAAACAGTATTACATGTATAATTAGAAAAAACATAGATCCAAGGCATTTAGGGTTGTATATGTACGATAGGATGTTGTAGTATAAAAAACCCAATAGTTTCTCAATGATTTATTATAATTGTATTTGAAAAGAAAAAAAAACTAAAGAGAGAAATAAATTAGTAAGATTACTGATAATATATAATAATAATAATAATAATAATAATAATAATAATAATAATAATAATAATAATAATAATAAATAGATGAGTTTTGTAAGGTGTAGTAACTATTTTCTAAAGGAATGGTTGAAATTGAAAGCTTAGCAACCTTTGATGCAAAGAAAATTGTTTTGGGGGTATTTTGTGTCACACTACTAGAAAACAGACCTTTAATGACACGCTTTTTACGACACGCACTGATTAATGATACGCAAAAGGGCGTGCCCTAAAAATAATGTCAGATCTTTAGAAATTTGATAAATTTAGGACGCGCATTTTTGCGTGCCCTAAAACTAGTGTCTGACAAAAGAAAAAAAAAACACGGAGGGTGCTTATGTTAAACGCGTGTCTTCTAGAAATGTCTATTTATAATTTTACAAACGCGCGTTCCTATTAAGAAATGGGGACTAAAACTAGGGCTTTTTTTTCAAGAACGTCTAACCTCTTATTCTTCTCCTCCGTCTCCCTCAAAAACCCTAGTTTCCATCTCCATTAATCTTCCCTCACTGGCGATCTCATCTAAAACCTCGTTCTTACGATCCTCATCTTATAATTCTTAAACCTCGCTTCAACGCCCCTTCTCACAAAATCAAAAAAATCGACGAAGAACTAGGGATTTTTACCCTTGGAATCGTACCTCACAAAATCCTTCATAGATTTGGCGACTGGGGCTCTGTGACTACTTACGCTCACAACTACAATGATTTTAAGGTTTTTGTCCCCGAAGGGAATAATGGTGAAGGTATTACATCAGATGGTTGACTTCTCATGCGTAAGGAGGGTTAGCGGATGAAGAGGTGGAAGATTTTTTAAACATGAGGTAGAAGAAAGAGAAGAAGATTAAACGATACGTATTTATTTTTATATTCATCTTCATTTTTTTACGTATTTGAGCTCGTTTTCATCCATGTTTGATTCAAACTTCAATCTATCTTACCCGATTTGTTTGCTTATGTTTTATTCTTCAGCACACTTGTTATCCCCATTATTGATTTCATGGTTAGTTAACTGATGGGTTCAAACTTGTCACATTCTACCATTAAAGATTAACCTTTCGTGTAAGATTTGCATTCTTTATGAAATTGAGTATAATGTTGGTATTGAATTTCCAACCTTTATAATAAATCTTTTGGATCACTACTGCAAATAAATAAAAATTTCATTTTTTAACCAAACATCTGATTCATCATATGAATCTAAAGCTACATCTGCATCATATTGAATTTATAATAAGATCAGGATAAGAAGTTAATTTCAATCTAAAAATCCTATGCATTGACCAAAAACTAACAAGAACCAGTGATCAAAGGCTAGCTGTTGGTTACTCTTCTTTTACCAAATGAAATTGGGGCATGTTAAGCATACATAGAGGTATACATTGGATTAAACATATATACTTTGAAGGATTTTTTAAAATGTTGTATAAACCATTCTGCATCATGAAATGTTTGTAGCTGTAAAATCAAGTTTTTAGATAATCAATGGATCTAATACTGATTGTTATGAACTTAAAAATGACAACTATTAAAAGGGCACTTCAGGATGACAGTGAACCAAATTATGTTCAAATTATGTATCAGTTATTATCAAGGTTGATGTCAATATAATAGATTTTATTATTAGTCTAGTAATGGAGATATTATTTATGACTCAATAACTAAATAATAATATGTTTTAAAATTTTAGGAAGAGCAAAAAGAAGCTTGAAGAACTGTTACATGAATGGTTAGAATGCCATACTCTAGAATGCTCTTTATCTGAGGCAAAATTTCTTTTTCCAACAACAATTAAGTTTAAGAAATTCTCACAGTTATTTCAGAATTAATCAACTTGTTGAATCTTTTTAGGGTTCTAATGAAGATCTTTTTCGGTAATAATTGTTTTGTGTTTTGTGAGCAGTTAACAGATTTTGGGCTGTCAAACGTTGGCCTAATTAACAGTACAGATGATGTATCTGGTCCAGTAGTGAGTGGAACATCACTATTGGGTGATAATAAGACTCAGTCATCTCTCTCATCTCCACCTCCATCTCCATCTATGTCTGCCACTGAGACTCAACAAGAAAGGCACAAAAACCACTCTGTTGTTGGACAACTCCATACTATTTGGCACCCAATATTCTTCTGGGAAATGGACATAGTTTGCTCACAGCTAACTTGATATAATAATGACATGAATTGCTTATAAAATCTCATGCATTAAAATGTTTTATTCAAATATCTTTCAGGTATATCAGCGGATTGGTGGTCTGTTGGTGTAATACTATTTGAGCTAATTGTTGGCATTCCTCCTTTCAATGCAGAGCACCCTCAAGTGGGGTTGGGGTTAGGGTTCTACTTTCACTTCTTTGTTAGTTGTTGTAATCTTAACTTTTCTTCAATGTTTTTTCAGATGATATTTGACAACATTCTCAACCGTAACATACCCTGGCCTACAGTGCCTGATGAAATGAGCCCTGATGCCCAGGATCTCATTGATTAACAAGAGAAACTTTTTAATTATCATCTTTAAAATTTAAATACATTTTTCTGAGTTCAATCATTGTGCAGATTACTGACAGAAGATCCTAACCAGAGACTTGGAGCTAGGGGAGCAACCGAGGTCTGCTTTCTTCTTTTTCATGATCAACATTAATCATTGTGATAATTTGATAAATGCAGGTGAAACAGCATCCATATTTTAGGGATATTAACTGGGATACCCTTTCCAGGAAAAAGCTGCATGAAATACATTAACTATTAAACTTTGTTTGATCTGATCATTTAAAAGAAAGTAGAAAATACAAAATAGCTATGTTTTGTGTCAGGCTGCATTTGTGCCTTCATCAGAGAGTGCACTGTACACAAGTTATTTCACAAGTAGGTACACATGGAATAACTCAGAGCAGGTATATGCATCAAGTGAAACAGAGGACTCTAAGACTGATGATTGATAGCTTTATTTCAGTTTGTATGGCCACAAGTGGTATTAATCTTTCAGAGACTGATGTTGTATTCAGCTCTTCCTCCTACCATGTTCTGCCACGACCCTATTATACCTACACCGCTTGCCTTCTTCTATGTTTTACTAATCTTTCAGAGACACGACTTTTATACCAGACACCGAAGATGAGAACTCAGTCAAATCAAGAAATTGATTTTTGGTTGGGATTTAAAGGCCTGCCAACACCTCCTCCACCTGAAGATATAATCATAAATTAATAGGGGATTCATGTTGCTTTTTTGTTTAACACGTCTGTTTTTACAGTTTACGAATTTCCTTGTTGAATTTCTACTTTTAATTATGAATTTTCAACATATTTTTTTTTTAATTTTGTACTAGAAATCAAGCATCAGGTTTTTGGTGGTTGAGTACTTTCAAAAATAGCTAAACAAAGGGACCAAAGATTAAGAGGAGGATTTGAAGACCCATAATGACTAAAATGCCCTTTGCTTTCCAATAGTGTACCCACCTACAGTTGATTGGTAACCGATTTGATTTTTGATTTTTTAGTTTTTCATAATTGTGTGCTTATTGATGTGTTCAGTTCTGGGCTTTGTTTGCACATTTCTATTTAACAATTTCAAGCAAACATAGCATCTTTCCTATCACTTTTAAGGTATCTTAGAACTCCTAATTTTCAAGATTTGTTCTTATTCATTCAGGATTTATGAAATTAGATAATATGTTGTGTCAAATAATTGGAAATTTTACAGGTGTACAATGTTGGAATGGAGGCAACAGTTGTACTGCGGCTTAAAGGTGATTGTTCTCTTGGTTACCTCCATACCGTGTAAGCCTTTAACCGTCTTCTACTATTAATCTGTTACCCATCTCCTTTTTCTCTGTATCCTTTTACCATTCTTGAGAAATTGACACCTTGTCTGACTTCAAACCTGGAGCTTAAACAATTATTTCTTCAGGATCAATACTTTAACTCACACCCATTTCGATTAGCAGCCTCCAGTAATCTAGGAAACTTGAAGACATGATCAAATCATAAATGACTTGCTCAATGAACTATTCCTTATTTGGAGTTTTTTACTTGAATTTTGTTTTACAAAGTTGAGTTTCTTTATTCGTTATTTATGGTTATGTTTTTCAATTTGGATCATCAGTTGAGATTAGTTAATTGCTTTAATTAATTTAATAACTCATCATTGAAATTAGAATCTAGATAATCGTTTGTTGTTTGTTTACTTATGTTTGACTGATGATTAGAGTATGTGTGTGTTTGTACTTTTTCAATTAGATACGAATTATGATAAGTTTCAATTTGGTTGTTATTAATTATGACTTTTTTGGTGGACACCTGCTTTTATGCTCATTGGAGAACCTGATTTTAATTGAAGCTCTACAGAAGATGTGCTAGTATATTTTAGGCAACAAAGGTAACGTTCCAACTTAGAGGAGTTATGTCTTTCTATCAATTATCGTTTACCTTAAAATCTTTTTTAGTACTATTGACCACCTTTGTGTGTAGATAGGAAGCTGATCATATCCTAAAAGTGAAGGTTCATAATTTTATGGAAAGTTAACAGATCATACAAGTAAAAGCACATCATCTGTGTAGGTATACTTCATGTCTCCCCACAATTAGATGCCCATTTTTCATAGAGTAATTATAGAAATGGTACCTGTGGCTGTAAATTATTTTTCCCTTATTTTTACTTCACAAAATTTAACAATAAGACAGTTATTTTGCATAATCTTCCTCCATCCTTCCTTCTAATGACTAACAGTTGGCGTTTTAAAAATGTCATGGTGTTGAAATTATGTCTAAGTTGGTTGTCATGCACTAAAATTACCTGTCAAAGTGCCCTGCATGTTATTTTTTATTTTGTTGTTGACAAAATGAAAATAATGTGTTGCAACGGGGAATGCCTTCTAGAGAAGCAATGCATTCAAAAATTTCAATTTTTTGGAGGTTGTTTATTTCTTAATCTCATCTAAATGATTAACAAGGGATTTCACAAATCAAGTCATCAGATGGGGGTGAGCAAGGAGGAGAAACAAAAATCCCATCTTTAGAAATCAAATATGTTTATGATGATTAGGTTTAATATTCTTTTTAATTATTAATTGATGATTACCAATTTTTTTTATTTAACTATAAAGTTCAAAACTTTAAGGTGCTTACTTTTCTATATTTCCTTCTAAACCCAGGGTGCAGTTGAAGCATGTGCAACCTAAAATTTATATGCTACAAGATCACAAGGACAAACTGTAGGTAAGTTAACATAACTGATATATGAATTTGTGAATCGAGATCAACAAGCTCGTGTCATGAAGTAATTTAACTCTATTTACATGGTGGTCATACTCATAAAAGAATGGTAATTGATAGTCCTATATACATTGTTGATTCACCATAATATGCTAAAATCATAACCATAAGACTACATAGGTTGTTGGAGATGAAATTAGTGTGTTCTATAGTTTGTATTTCATTTTAATATTCTTTGTTGAGCTAAGCATATCCATTTGCCACAAATCTTGATATGGAGATTCCCTTTTGTATTCCAGATGCAGTTATGCAGAATTTGAATTAGGAAAAGGAATTCCAATATCTCCTTTTATAAGGTGGAGAAGAACTAAGAAGAATAAAAGCAAGAAAGAAAGATAGAGATGTTTTCATTGTTTTATGAACTTTGGAAATATCTGGTCAGTAAGACAGAGTTTCAATTACTAATTCTTGGAATTGACAAGGCTAGAAAAACAGTAATCATTTCTCTACTCTTTCATTATTACATACTTTTATGTAATTTTTGCATTTTGTATGTATTAAAACAAGCCTATTTAGACATGAGCAATACTTCGTTTATGTCTAGACCTTACTCAAGAAATTGAAGACACAATATTCAAGCTTAGAAGGCCTTCCCCACTGATCGAATTGTTCCTACTGTTGGAGTTAATATTGATTGAATAGAAACTTCAAATACAAAACTTGTGTTTTGGGATCTTGGAGGTCAGGTATTTACAACCAATCCCTTTATCTCATACCTTCTAAATTTCCCAACTTTTCTTATGATCTTATCTTAAAAAGTAGCATAATAATAGCAAGCACTAGAGATTTTTATAAAAATCTGTAGTGTTACTGTTATTTTTTTTTTCTAATATGTCATTGGTTCATGAGTATCTATAAAGTCTGGTCTTCGTTCAATTTGGGAGAAATATTAAGAGGAGGCATATGTTGTTATCTTTGTAGTTGATGCTTCTTGTCCATCACGTTTTGAAGATTCCAAATCTGCCTTTGGTAACTAAGCTTTGTTTTATATTAGATGTTGCCCTTTTGTGGTAAATTTATGAAATGAATCTATATAACATATGATGTAGATGATGATAAGATAAAGAAATAGCGGTAGATGATGATAAGGTAAAGAGAACTCGAGATCTGTTATCGAGCTTCTCAGACTTCTGCTCCCACCAACACCACATCAAGATTCGCCACTCTCGACACTATCAACACCACCTCCTTTGATGCTGATCAGTACATGAACCTTCTTGTACACCCTCTCATCTCATCTTGAAATTGTATCCCTTAGATATTTTCTCTCTTCTTCCATCTTTCACTTTCTGCTCTTATTATTATACTCATTAAACATAAATGATAAAAGAATTATATAACATTGCTACTTCTTCTTCTTCTTCTTGTCCAGGGGTGCATTGGTAATTGCAGACGAAGTTCAGTTTAAATTTGACAGGTGTCTTACGGCTCTACACGAACCAGTGAGCATTTTCTTTTATGTTTTATGTATATAAAGTTTGTTTCCATTTTCTTTTGTCTGAACTAAGGTTGGTATACATATAATATAGGTGAGGGATCTTCCATCTTTTATGTCTTATTGCTTGGATACTTCGGGATCACAAATATCACTTCTCAACATTACCACCATACTACAATCTTGTTGTTGCATCTGGTCATGCCCCTCGCCTTATATGTGGGGTCCTCAACAGCTATAACATGCAAACAATTATCTTCATTCATTCAGATTTATCAGGTTGACCTTTCTATTGACTTTTTTGTACTTGCAAAATCACAAAATCAGCATATGATGCACCATATGCTGCTTTCTATCCACATGGAGGTGTTTATGCACATCCTGTAGTTCATCTTGTAAGTCTTCTTGACTTTCTAAGATCATATTGTAAGTCTTTTATGAAGGTGGAAACAATATTGATGGGAACTCGCATAGGTGGAAACAATAGCTCGTTTATAAAACAGTGGGGAGATTGAACGAACGAGTGAAGGAATTGATGGTAATACAATTGAGGTAATAAACCTTTATGTCATCAACTGAAGTTGAGAAGGCTAAGCCACAAATGATGGCTAAAACTAAGGTAAACTGAGACAGAGCTCTATTTTTAACTTTGTTTTACTAACTTTCTGTTTTTATAACAAGCTGTATCTTATAAAAGTTTAATCTTTATCTGGTTGGTTGATTAGTTAAGCAGCTGGCAAATACCAACATATGTGATTGAGCAAAGAAAAAAGCAAGAGATGTCTGGTGCAGAAGATGGGCTTATGTGTGTATATTTAGTGTTGTAAGACTGTTGGTAACAATATATGCCCTCCTGTTACCAATCTGCATGAAGTGAAGTATAAACCAACCTTACATACAAATATTTACAAGCTCATTCTATTTATAAACAAGTGAGTTGGTAAATTTTAATTCTAGATAAAATTACAATTGTAGCTGTATATATAAAACAAACTAATGAGTTATTAAAACAAAGACATGTGGGAGACATCAATGAAGTTCCTGAATCTAGCTAGAGAGGTCTGTTATTTTTGTTGCTAATAATTTTGATATGTATTATTTGCAGCTTGCTAGGACATGATATAACTTTTATCAGTACACACCAACAAAGTTGGCTG